ATTGAGAATGATTTAAAAATCTGTCCTAAAGTCCATCTTCCCTAAACCTTTCTTCCCAATTTCCAAAAGCAACACAAAACCAAGTTGGAGTTCTCTGTTACAGAAACACAGATATTTTCCCTTAAGGTTCGGATAATGGGTCATGAAATGTGCAGGAGGCGCCACACTCCATGGTATGATGAACCTTAAAACTTTCCTTCTGATGCATGTTCACCAGCCTCCCAAAACTTGTGAAAGCAGCGCCTGTCCTGTCCTCATAAAATCCCCCCCCCCAAATTAATCAGCTCCACACGCAAAGTGCCAGTCGCAGGGATTTCCAACAAGGAAGGATTGCTTCTGCACTTCCGTTGGAAATAGAGTCCCATTAAGTTCAGAGATGTAACTGGAGTAGTCAGTAAAGTGTCCAGGGAGGAGTCTGTCTGTGACAGTCCTCCCACCGCCTTGGTGAGGAGAGAAGTAGCTGGTCAGAGGGCAGATCTCAGCCTTGACTGTGCAAAGGCCGTGGAGGACAGACTTCCTGCACCCAGACATACCCAAACAATCGTAGCCAAACCGGCCATGTTCTCCCCCAGCCTTCCCCTTGGAAGAAGCGTCCTGAGCTCTCCCCTTGTCCGTGCAGGAGGTGAGTGCTCTTGTCTGGTGACAGAAGGCGCCGCTGACGCTTCCAACCTGCACCCCGGACACGTGCACTCAGAAGACGCATCGGGCTTGGGTTTTTCAGTTTGGAATTTACGATCACGTTTATCACTTCCTCACTGACATCTCCCCTTGGAGCTCTGGCCATCTGGACCACCGTGCGCCACAGTGCGACGCGCCCGTGGAGCGTTCCTCTCTGTGTAGCCCAGGCTGGGTGCGTCGTTTTGTCCCTTGGATGCTCCCGCTGTGTGCAAGATGAAGGAACAAGAATGGTCTTCTGCCACCACCTTCGGAATGGCTTCCTCTCTCTCTCAATAAGGAGCAGCCCTGCGGCCAGAGGGAAGAAGTTGCGACATCTGAGCCAGGCCTGCCCCCCGGCAGGCAGCTGGGGTTGGGGGGGGGTGGGGGGGCAGCTTGGCCCAAACACTGCTTAGTCAGGATCCCATGCTGAGCTGAGCTGCAGATGTGCCCAGACCTGCCACCACCAGGTGTCTGCGTCTGGGCTGGGAGGTGACGGCACAAATGTGACTCTTGCCTCCCGCTGTTTCCCAACACTGTCCTCAGAGGAATGTGGAAGACTCAGGCAAGGCCATCTTGGAAGGCCTCTGACAGAGCCACAACTCTCTGGCCACCCAGCCATGTCCAATGCCTTGGCCGGCCCTGTCCCTTTGACCCTCACACCGTGCCGCCCACAGCCCCTGGGCTGGCTCCTCCCTGGAGCTACGGGGAGACTCAGGTGGGAGGCAGCTGCCCACCTGTTCTGCTCCAGTACGTGGCTTTCATCATTAGTGCCCAAACCTCCCCAGCTAAAGGTGTTTCTTTTTAATACAATGGCCCCATGATTAAAAATGCCTTTTTTTAATTAAAAAAAATCTTTTTGGAAATTCATTTGTCCCCACTGGGGAAAAATTTCACACTTCCCACGGAGAAGAGATTCTGTATTTAACAGAATTATTAACGACTAGAGCAACTCTTCCCCGAGTGTAAATATTGGAAAAGCTTACCAGCCCATTAGTGGACTTTCAATGCAACACAAAAAGGTCGTTACTAATCTCTGTGTGGCTTCTGAGAATCGCATTTTAAGCTCAGGCAGGCTGTGAGCCATTTGCTGTCAAGACTTAATAGACAATCTGCGGAAGTTTACTGTGCACCTATTAGGAACTAAGCCCAGGCCTCAAGAAGACGTCACTGTACGTAGCAGAAGGTGCAAATGAACAGCACGTTGGCCAGACCCAGCCTGCAAACATATTTTGTTTGACTCGCACCATATCTATCAAAAATGTGAATTAGTTGCCAACTTCTAGATATCAGAATATTTCCAGCTTCTCTTGAAAACTCAGGAAATCTGGCAAAACCGAGCTCACATTCCTGGCTAACAACTGCCCACTTCAGACAGGCAAAGGCTTTCTTGGTTCACCCAGCCCCCACTTGCCCTGGCTTCCCTCCGACTTAACCTGCCTGGGACCTCAAAATAGACCCCAGCCTATGTCAGGGTGAGCAGTCACAGTACACCCACCCACCAGGGGAAAGGCCTCCCTCAGACACAGCAACCCAACCTGGTCTCAGTTAAGAAGAGACAGATTTTTTCTGATTTTGTGTCTTCTCAGCTTTTCTTCTTTTTCATAGTTTTTTTTTTTTTAATCCCTGGTAATATAAGGTTCAGGAAAACATTCTGTTTTTAGTGCTAAGACAAGGAATTGAACACAAAAGGAAAATGACAAGATTGAAACACAGAAAGCAGCAAGCAAGGACTCTGAGAGCAGGAGGGGCCCTCGGAGATGCCCCCATTGGCCAGGCCTAGAGAAAGTGAAGGTCACACTAAGGTCCCACCACTGAGCAGTAGGAGAACAGAAGCGTGATCTCAACAGTCTTTACCCAGCCGGTGACATATTCTTTTTTACACAAAGGGGTGGTTTCTCGGTCCCAGCTTCTGCTTCCGTATTTCCAAGGAATGGCAGAGAAGCCCATCAGATCTGGAAATAAATCTGAGAACTGATTTCGGAAGTCGCACGGTAATATCAGATACGCGATTCCAAACGAACCTGCAGAAAATTAATTAGCAATTTTCATCTAGACCTACTGACTCCTTCGATATAGGTCAAAATTGTCGTATTTGAAGAAATGTGTCCATTGATCCGGATGGTGTGTGTTGGGAGAAGCAGTCTGTTTTGATGCTTTTCAAATTCTGTATTGCTAGAATCTTCCTTGTGTTTTCAACCAGAAATAGAGTAAAACGGGTTCATCCTAGAATTTGTTGCTAGTGGGAAATTTTTGCTAAAGCAAATATAATTCAGTTGCAACCGACACTATGTTGCTGACCAAAACTCTTTCACTGGACAGATTAAAGGTACTAAAAATGGGCCGCTGCCTGGGACTTAAAACATTTGATATATTAATCATAAGCATATATGGCCATTTGATAATACTGCAATATTAAATTACTGCAATAATAAATACAAAAACCAGCTTTATGTCCAGCAGAGCGGAGGGGAAGAGAGCAGCGTTTGTAGAACAGAGACAATTTTACTTAACCCCACCAGTCTGGCCAGGGACATGGTTTCATGCCTGCTTTTATGGACAAGGACAGTGAGCCAGGAAAGCCTACTTCCTCGGCCAGTTTCCAGTTGCTGGGAACTGGCTTCATCTGGGTCATTCTCACTCCAAACCCCAAGCTTTGTCTGCTACAGCAGCTCACGGCACAGAAGCCACCGAGATGAGCCATGGATTGGTGGGTCCCGGGAGACTTCTGAGAAGCGGTGACATTTGAGAAGCACCTTGATGGACACCTTGTGTCACAAGGGGGACAGAGAAGAGAGGAGCAGGAAGGCCTCAAGGTTGAGCCCTGGCTGGCCGGGGGACGGGAAGTGCACTGAGAAATGGAAGGTGAGGAGGTTAGGTTTGGAATTCTCAAAGCAAAGCTTCATCCTAAAGCTTCCATGTGAAAAAACATGAATCCTCCCAACACCTGTAAGGCAGGTGGCCTCACACTTAGGAGGAAGGGTCCCACACCGCAGACCAAGACACTTAGGGGGCCAGAAGGCCAGGAATGTGCATCTAGCCTGTGGAGAGGCAGCAGAGCCCTCTGGACCTCAAGGAGCCCATGGACCCACACTTTCTCTCACATATACGCTGTTGGCCCTCTCCCCCCCTCTTCCCCTCAGAGGTCTGCGCCTTCTCGAGCCAGAACCAGGCACTGCTGCCTGCCTGCCAGTCTGCCTGACTGCAACGCGCTCTTTCCGACCTGCATCTTCCCCCCACCCCTCCAAGCCTGGGATGCAGGACGCGTTTTGTCGCCTGCCCCAGGACGGACACCAGCAGCCAGGTGGGTATAATGCGCCGCGGGAGGAGGAAGCTGGCCCCCCTCCCCCATCCAGTCCAGTCTCCAGAGGGTCTTTTTAGGGAACTGGAAAGGGAAGCGGGAGAAGGCCTGATTGTGCTCAGGTTCTGTGTCTGCCTGCCCCGGGGCGTCGGAGAGCCGCGCGGGCCACAGCAGCTGCGGGCGATGCAGCCTCGTGGCTTCTCAGGCCCAGGAAGCCGGTTCTCCCAGAGGCTCCTCCCCGTCGGCTCCGTCCCCATCTGCCGGCCAAGCTCCGGTTCGGTGTTCCCGGGACATTTAATTCCTTTACCCTCAGCGGCCTATAGCAGAGGTAACAACGGAATCCCATTTTACAACGGAAACAACTGAGGCTCCGAGAGCGAAGTCCCCCGCGCTGGGACAGCGGGGCAGCCGGGGCAGGAACTCCCAGCCCCAAGGAAGGGGGTGCTTTCTGAGGTCTTACAGCCTCCCGGGGACCCCCTTTCCCCACCTCCCGCGACGCGCGCCCACGCTTCCTCCGGAAATAAACTTCCCCCGGGCGAGGGGGGCGCGGCCCTCCTCCTTGGCCGCGGTGGGACCCCGAGGGCGCCCCGGGGGAGGCAGGGCGGCCGAATCATCCCCAGAGACCCGAGCCAGGGAACTTCAGAGCGTTTCGCCCTTCCCGGGAGAGGCAAACACGGACACGTCTGTGTCTTTGCCGACAAGTGCCTTCAAGCCCGGCGGGGGCAGACACCTCCGCGCCGGCCGCCGGCGAGGGCTCCCTGTCGGCGGGGGCACGGCCTCGCACCAGCTGCGCTGATTTAGTCGTTCGCGGGCCGCCACAGCGGGCGGCGCTTCCCCGGGCGGCGCGGCGGCGCCCACGGCCTCGGGCGACGCGGCGGCCCGGCGGGGGGTGGGGCGGGGGGGCGGGGCGGAGGGCACCCCCCGGGGCGCCAGGGGGCGGGCGTGCGGGCACAAGCGGTGCGCGGCGGACGGGGGCGGCCACCGCGCCGCGCGGCCGGGGCGCCCGGGGAGCCGCCCACTTCGCCGCAGCAGCCCCGACGGCCGAAGCTTGGATGCGGCGGCGCCCGCCGAGCTGGGGCGGACGCGGGGCGGCCCGGGCCGGGGACACGCGCCGGTAGGCCCCGGCGCTGCGGCGTCCGCAGGATGGCCGAGGTAAGCGCGGTTCTCCCCCGGCGCGGGGGGCCCCCTCGGCGCGCGGGGCGGGGCGGGGGGAGTCGGGGGGCGCCGCCCGGCCAGGCTCCGTCGGCTCCGGGGGGGGCGCGCCCGGGGCCACTTCCCGAGGCCACCTGCGCGGCGGCGGGGGCCGGGGAGCTGGGAGCCGTCGCCGCCCGACGTCCCGGAGCCGCAGAAGCGCGCGGGCACCAGGCGGGTCCCCGGAGCCCCCCGGACGGTCCGGGCGAGCCTCGGGGTGCCGTCCACGGCGAGCGCGTCTCCCCCGCACCCCTCCCGGCCCCTCGGCGCCTCGGGTGCGAGTCGGAGGTCGTTCTCCCGGGATTTTGTTTCTGCAGAACTGGGCGCGCGGTAACCGCGGTCAGCCGGCCACGAACGGACACCGGCGCGTGGCGGGGCCCGGGGCGCCCGGTCTTTGGAAGCGCCGCGGAGCGCGGGGCGGACGGGTCGCGCCGGAAGCCCACGAGCCGCGAGGGCGCGGAGGGGGCGCGGCCACACGGGTGCCCGCCGAGCCCGCGGGTGGAAGCCGGTCAGGCCCGCGGCCAGCCCCTCCGTGGTGCTCATTTACCTGCCGGTGCCCGGCGCCGCCAGGACGCGGGGACCGCCGGGCCCGCGCGCTCGCGGCTGGAACTCGGGCGGGCAGAGGCGCCGCGCCGGGTCGGCTCCCGGGGCAGGGGCGCGCAGGGCTTGGGTGCGGGGGAGCGGGATGGGGGCGCCGCCCGCCAGACCCCAGCCCCGCCGGCCGCCTGGTTTTGCATCAGCCCCTACGGATTTGTCAGCCAGATGTGACAAGATTGTGGAGAGGCGAGGGAAGGAGGAGATCTGATATTAATCAGCGCATAGCTCGGAGCCAAACTTTCTCAAATGCGGTGTAAGAACATGCTCTTCTCATTTAAGGCATCCCTTTGTGGCTGTGGGGCTGCCACCGGTCGTAGTTTGACAGTTAAATGGAATGCCAACGAGCAGCCTTAATTGTAGGAGTAAAATTGTGTGTGTTGGGGGGAGGCGGGGGTTCAGACACTCTAAGGTTCAGTTATGTCCCCTAGTTTTATGGCCGTGCTCACCGCGGTTCTCTGAAGACAGGGCATTTAAATCGGGCCAGACCTGGTCGCAGCCAGGCCTCTGCTGTTAACACTTAAGGGGCCTAGCAGAGGCCCCACTGGTGTCCTGGGAATCCCTGTCAGTGAGTGAGTGTGTGTGTGCGTGTGCGTGCAGGGGAAGACGTGTTCCTGCAGCTTGGGCCGACATAGCAGAGCTAGCAGCAGTTTTTAAAAAATATATTCTCATGAAAGTGACAAAGATTTTGGCTTTATGAAAAGTGAATTGAAAAACAGCATTTGGCAAATTACCTTCTCTCTTTCTTTCTGGTGCCTTTTCATTCCCGGTTATCGTTTTAATTTGCAGAGTTCGTGGAACCTTTTCGTACTCTCCCTTAGATGCTTTGCTTGCATAGAAGTGCTTATGTGTTAAAACTTTCGTTCAGTGGTAAATGTGCCGGCTCCTCTGTTGTCCCCTCCCAGATCCCTTGATATGAATTATGAAAACCTCATTCACCGTGTGATGTGTCAGAATAGCCTTTTTGTGTGTCTCGTGAAACACGACTTCACAAACACGACCAGTTGTCCAGGATTGGATTTTTGCTTTCCTTGGGTGTGGAAAGATAACCACCTCTGTTTGCGCTGATAAATCTTGATAAATAGCTTTATCCTTTCTGGCAGACCTAAAAGAATAAGGTGTGAGTCATCATTCACTTTCTCATTGGATAGGCTCACTTTAATTTCACCAAGAAAGCACAAGGATTTCAACTCAGCTGTCGGTTTGAACGTGTTGGTGTCACAGTTCAACACAGAGGAAAGGTGGTGAGCTCTTCCCTGAGCACAAACGCGGCTTATGCTTCGGGAACTCATAATTATGTTCAGACATCTGCATAATTTAATTTGGAAAATCATCTGTACCCATAAATGCTGTTGCCCTCAAGAGCAGTAAGGATTTAGCTACACGCCCCTCTTCCAGTCCGAAAGTGGTTAGCGGGGAGGGGTTCTGTGGTTCTTGATATTCGTTAGGCTGTCTGCTCTCTTTATAATTCATATTAGAAATATTAACCCACATGAAATAATTCCTATTGGAAGTGTAAGGTTTGCATGGGGTGTGATTTTTATTCATTGGTTCCTTTTTACATCTCTGTCCTGAAGCAGTTAGGCCTGTGTCCCACTCCCATATTCTCTATTTCAGAATCATCAGCTTGGGAAGAAGGAAGATCCACCCCACTGGGTGAGAAAAGCCATACAAGTTTCCGTGTGGAACAAATAATCATTGTCCTTTAAGCATCCCGTTATCATTTATGAATGCCTAGGGATAAGTGTAAACATTTTAAAAGTTCGGTTTGCCGGTAAAACTAAACCACGGGTGAGGGGCAGAAGTGTCTTAGCCTGTGTATATGGCTTTAGAAGTTATTTTGACAGTGGCCGTTAAAAGAGTCACCCCGTAGGTTCCACAGGGTAAATTACTTGCAGGGGGAACGTGCTTTACCCCAGGGTGAATTTTCACTTCTACAGATGTCATTTAGAGTGAGTTGCTTTTGTCAGAAACAGCCCTGTTTAAAAAGAACTAGAACTAAGTACCCCAGGTAAGATGAAATCTCAGTGCTGAGCCACCCATGTTTTTTCCTTTGTATATCTAAGATCAAGATTTAGAGAGCCTGTAATCTTTTTTTAACTATCTCACTCCAAATATCCTCCTGCAGATTTTAAAAATTACTTTTTTTTTTTTTTTTTGATGACTTATCTGAGAGATGTTAAAAAATAACTTGATTCGGGGCAGAAGAGACATCTGGAAAGTTTTGTTAAGTTTTTTTTTTTTTCTTTTAAATTGGTTTCCACCTGAAAACGTTATTTCCTCTTACCTTGTCATTCTTTGAAGCTCTTTTTCTTAGTTCTGGGAATGCGACGTGTCCAGGGCAGCCCACTTTCGCTGCACGGACGCATGTCTACTTTATCCCGGAAGGGGTGGACAGAACAAAGAGCCGTCCGATCTGGGGCACTTCCCAAACTTCGTGTAGTTGAAGCAGGCCAGAGGGCTCTCGCCATTCTCCTCCGCGCTCTGGTTCATTTTTATAAACCAGCCTAACACATCATAGGAGAAGTTTGCCTTGGGGGATGATAATTTCACTCACCTAATGTGGAGGGAACTGGTTGTTTCAGTTCAGGAAAAGCTTTAATTCAGACTACTAACTTTTTCTTGTATATGGCTGTATTCGCCTGTGTTGTCCTACATACTACTGTATGATCCTTCCACACACTCACACAAACATCACAACTATCTTCAGCCCTCCACCAGCTTCCAGAAGCCTTGTCCCAGTTCTGAAGCCCTCTGACTGCTCTTTGCTTTATTCATGACGAAGGTAAAATCTCTCTACGGACCACTCAAACTTTCTGGATTTTAAGGCTTTGATCAGGATGGCATAAGTCGCTAACACTGGTCCTTTCTTTTTAAAAATTCATTTTGAAAATCTAAGGTTGCTTTCTCTCTTTCTTTTCTTTTCTTTTTTTTTACACTTCATTCTTAAAATCTAGTTCTCGTTAAGTCCTTGAAAGAAATATCTGCAAAATTTTACATAGAAATTTCACAGTTTCATCATTATCTTGAAGTAGCAGGCACCAGACACAAAGCTGCTTGCTTGGGTAGCTGGCCACCTTAGTTAAAATTATCCGAACATATAAATGTCTTGTGTGTGTGTTGGTTTGTTTTTTCTTCCGCTCCTCCCCTCCAGCTCTGTTTCATTCAGAAGTTCCTACACAATTAACATCCCTCCTTTTTTTTGTTATCAAAGGCTTCTAAAGATCGCTCCTGAGGTCCTCCCAAATTTAGGTTATAAAGGAGGGAAAAAAATATGCCCATGTCATTTGTATTTTATATAGTTTTTTGGTTGTTGTTAGGTTGCCTTTCTTTTTCTTTAATGAAGAAATACTGGGTTCATAAGATAGCATTTGGATATTTTTCTACTTTTTGTGTTTTCTGGTTTCAGAACTAATAATTTTAAGAAAAAAGGGCACAGCTGTTAAATTATTTTGGCACAGAGTTTATACTTTGATTTATAGAGATCAAAAGAACAAGTATTTTCCCCACCATCCTCTTTGAACTAAGCAACAAGAGAATGAGGCAAAGGTGTCACGCATACTTTCTACTCACAGGTAGACTTGGCCCAACATCTGTGCCCTGGGTTCTACCTCCCCCCGACCCCTCCGCTGCCAGACCCTTTTCCATGCTCTCTTCTCACCCCCTCCCCATGCTGGCAGTGAGAAAGCAGACTTGATTAATTCTCCAGTGTTGTTTTTGTATTGCAAAGGCTGCCTACCTGGTTTGGGAGGCTTCCTGGCGCCCTTTTTTCAACTGTGCTCATGGTAAAGGGTGTCCCCTTGTTTTTGGGAATCCAGATGGTTCCATGAAGCCAATTGAGAGACGCCCATCTGGACAGCCCACACCCATCTCACTGGATGGCCTCTCCAGGTGTGCTCCCCTGGCCCAGGGCAGAAACATCTGGTCTGTGGCCTGGCCTCGGGCCTTGACACACGGGGCCGGGATGAGCCTAGGACCGTGGCATTTCCTGCACACGGTGAGGAGAGCACACCTCCGCCAGCCTCAGAGAGCACCTAAAAAAATTAGCCGTAACTCTTCAGTGTCATTAAATTCCCAGTCCGTGTCCAATAGTCCTTGACGGTCTGGCAAGCCTTAGTTTACCCACTAGTGCGTCCAAGTCAAGATCCAGATAAGGTCCCTCCCTCCAGGGTCCCTCTTTGTCTGTCAGTCTATACTTTTTTCCTTGCAGTCTTACTGTGGGAAATGCTGGTTCATTTGTCCTGTAGGATGCTCCCCAGGCTGGACTAGTGATTGCTTCCTCCTGGTATCGTTTACATCGTGTTATTCCTCTGGCCATGTATTTTCCGGACACCGCAGTTGACCCAGGGGTTTGAGCAGATTCAGGT